ATAGCCCTGCCATAAATCCCTGCAATTGGTCAAGAAATAAGCGTAAGCCCCTCATCATAACCTCATACGTAACAGACAAAAAACCTAACCCACTACCTTGTAACCTGATAGCAACCTGAGAGCACGAAGAACTGCTGCTTGCCAGAAAATTAAAGATTCCACATAACGGTTCATCATTGGGTATCTCCGTCAGATCGTAAATCTTGACGTATCAAAGCCCTGCAGGCACGATAGCACGTTTTTGGCGCCATGTCCGTCATTGCTTGGCTGTAACCCGTACGTTTGACTATAATCGATGCAACTGTAACGGAACAAAGGCTCAGCTTGCGTCGCACGTCACTATCTGGGCGACGTAAGTAAACAATCTCCTATAACCAACACGTGTCTGTGCCTGGTTAATTTCACCCCATCCATCACTACCCGCCTGTTAGGTGAAAGTTTTACTGCTCCGGTGGGGGGTGGGGGGGTCAGAAAGCAGCTGCCGGCGCTGCTCTGATCTCCGACACAAGTAGTTCTGAATCAGATTTGTCTCAATCTGATTCCGAAATGGGACTAACAAGTAGTGCAGGTGATTCTACAGATAGTGACAGTGAAACTGGAGGTGCCACAGTGACTTCAGTGGAAGAGAGTTAAACTGTTGAAGTAGATGAGTGGACAACCACGGCATATGATGCACAGTTCTTTGGGTGTGCTAAAATTAATGTGTCAACAGTTTTTAGTGCCTTCGTTTTGTTTCTTAAATTTAAACAAACAACATAAAGGAAGTACATGCTATTGTGTGTTGTCTTTACATTTTTACAAGTATTCCAATAAAAATAATTTCTTTTCACATAAAGCTTTGAATTTGTTTGAATATAAAATTTAAATCACATTAAGTGTGCTGTATTTAATTTTTTTCCTAATCAAATATTTCAGTTCGAATACTTGTGGCTATTGGGTCATAAAATTAACACGGGGGTACCTTTTTAGTTTTGTTTACTAAATATAAGTCAAATAAACGTGCTAAATCAAATCACGCTCTATTTAGGGCATTGGAAAACTTTCCGGAAAACCCACATCTCTGGATATAAGCCATAGACCTGAGGCTGAAGAGGATTCTCACGGGAGTGGGGAAAAATCCATTAATCATTCTTCGGGTTGGAACAAATGACAGTCAGACATGGCTTATCCTTGCTGACAAGGATATAGAATGATTATGCTAGGCTGGGAAAGAGATGCATAAAGACCTAAAAGTCCAAGTGATCCTCTGCAGAATTGTATCTATCCCAGGAAGAGGGAAAAGGCAGGGTAATATAATGCAGAAAATTGGATGGCTCAGGGACTGGCGGTAATGGAAAGATTCCAGGTGTTTGCATCACATCTTTTTTTTTCTACAGTTCACCAGTTCATTAATATACAATGTTTAAATAGTTTGTACCTTTGAATCATGGCCATTATTCTACCATGTCTCCTCTTATTCCTACAATATCCAGGTTAGCATCTCACCAAGAGTTTTATTACCCAGGCTCCTTGTATTGTACAACCATTTCAGTAGTTTTCTTTACCCATTTTTCCATTTGGAATGCATGTGACCATCTTATTTCCCAATGATGACTATGCTATTCCTTTCCACAGCCCTTCCAGTCCTTGGTAACCTTCCCTTCTTAGCCACCTCCCCATTATCCAGCCCACTCACACATACATGCCTGAGAGCAAACCTGCACTTTCTTACACGTAGGCACGCTAACATTTCTTCTCCACGTGGAGATTTTGTACATTCTCCCAATTCCTCCCCCCCACGCCGCCGTCCCACCCCAGCTCCTAGTTTAAAGCACTTCTGATCAGCCAGGCCAGACTCGATCCCAGAAAACAATGTCCTCGGTTATGTAAGTGGAGCCCATTCACGGAGAAAAGTCCTCTGTCCACAGATAGTCATTGTACTTCCACAGATGGTTGTCGCCAGTGATCATACTTCTCCTTATGGGCAGAGACAGTGAGATATCATGAAACACACCCAGAGAAGCAAAGCCTTGTATGCCTAAAGCTGGAGTTTCCCTGACTGTATCTCATAATCAGGGATTCTGATTTTCCCTGATAAAAAAATACCAAATTATCTGCTAAAAAATCACAAATTCTCTGCTAAAACCCCCCAAATCCGTGATTAAAATTAAAGGCCCCTCCACAGCTCCCCAAGCCCTGCTGGTGCCTCTCACTTCCCACCCACAGCCCCCACAGCCTTGCTGGTGCCCCTTACCCCCCACCCACAGCCCCTGCTTCCCCAGCCCAGCTCCACCTGATTCCACAGCCCCCTGCCTCCACTCTCCCACCCCCGCTGCGGGCTGGGGTGGGGCAGCTCCCTGCTGCTGCAAAATGGCAAAATCCATGGGTTTCTCTGGTAAAATGAGAAGTCCGTGTTTGGCTCTGGTAAAAGGCAAAATCTGCGGTTTACTCCATTTTTCCATGGGAAATGGAAAACCCAGATCCCTGCTCATGAGGAACCTCAGCTTTTTTGACTGGTTCCCCAGACATACAGTTGCGTCTCTGTGAATGCCTACAAATGCCTTGACTTTGATAGGAGCGAGCAGCTTGGCACCTAGCTCATGCTTATTCCCAATTAGGTTCTCAGTTAAGCTGTTTTTTAATACTCAGACAAAGGAGTTGCCGTCCCTGCTTTTATACAGTGGTCTCATGGTCAGACCCAGAAGGCTACATGTGCTATTAATGCAAAGCAATAAACTCTGGTGTGGTTTGCAATTTATAGCTCCCAGGTGCAGCGCTTGCACGAGTGAATGGGGCTGCAGCATGTTGAGCTGGGGCAGAGCAGCCCCGATTGGCAGGAGCCCTGAGGGTCAGCCTGTCAACCTGGGGCTGCTCTAACCTGGCTCAATGTGCTGCAGAGGGGCTGGCTGGGGCAAGAGGGTGCTACAATGCAGGGCTAGACAGCAGGCAGCCCCTGCATAGTAGCACCCTCATGCCCCAGCCAGCTCCATCACTGTCTACATGTGTGTTTCACCACAAGTAAATATGCCACTGTTTTGGGCAGTACTATCATACAGTGGAGTTCACTGCGTTTGTATATGGTGACACTACTGGAGTACTAATTAAAGGGTTCTGCAGTAAAGCTGACCTCCACCAGGATGGCTGAGTGGTTAAGGTGTTGGACTTAAAATCCAATGGATGTATGTCTGTGTGGGTTTGAACTCTACTGTTAGTAGCTGCTGTTTTAGATCACTTTAGGCTAGACATAAGGAAAAATGTCTTTACAAGTCGAGTGCCAAGGGTTTGGAACAGGCTCCCCCCGCAGGTGGTACAGTCATCTAACCTGGCTATCTTCAAAAAGCGTCTTGATGCCCATCTTGCTGGGGTCATCTGATCCCAGCAGTCTTTCCTGCTGAAGCGCAGGGGGGGGCCTGGACCCAATGATCTGTAAGGTCCCTTCCAGCCCCTAAAAACTATGAAACTATGAAAGTGTCTCAGGTAGACACACCCGGAAAGTGGGAGAACTGGGTTTAAGCTCCTTTTCGGTCTGAAGGAATTCAAACCCATAGCTCTTAGGAAAAACTTTAACCAACAGGTGATGAGGCTGTTCAAGGTAAGAGAACTCCATGTCTATTGGAGATTCACATTTTAGGAAATTGAGACAAGAAGAAAAGAGGGGAAAGCATGTGCTCCTAAATAGCTTAATGCTGAGAGCATTTCCCTGGAAGTCAAAAAACCTGGGTCCCAGGTCACACTCTTCAGACTGTTTCTTTGTCACATTTAGCATGTATTGGATAAAACACAGAAACAGTTGCAGGAGCAGGCCACTCAGCAAGTAAGTGCCAGGATTTCTACTTACAAAGCCCCTGCTGAATTTGCTTGGCCACACCGCTCCTAGGCAAGACCGTCTGTCTTCCTAAGCTCTCCTTTAACCCATAAAACAGGAGCAACATGTGCTTTGCACTTTCACAAAATTTTTCCCATCTGTGGATTTCAGAGACGGGGAAAAATAGGTAGCTCTATTTTAGAGTTGCAATAACTGAGGCAGATCCTTATAGGTTATGAAACTCTGCTCCCATTTACATTACCAGTAAAACTTACATTGACTTCAGTGGGAGAATACTGGTGCTTCTGAAGTGTTGGACAGCTGGCAAAGAACTGTTAGGTCCTGACAGCAGCAGAGGGTTTGAATATTAATACGATCACATCCAGCTCTATTTGATCTGGTGACTGGACACAGAAACCTTACACGGTTTCTTACACTCTCAGCTATTAGGAGAGTTGAAAGTACCTGCAGATTAGTGTCTCTCACATATCTCTGCTTTTCTTTCACAAAGAACAATCTCGGCTGGCCTATGTGGGTGAGTGGCTGAAGCACCCCCAAAGCATGAGACCTGGCAAAAATAATTTCCTTAATGATGTACTGAGGTCAGTGCTGGCAATCCTACTCTCTGTGGGGGCCACGATATGCAAGTGGCAGAGAAGGTCAGCAAAGCAAAACTCTCCCAGAGAGGCCGAGCACAGCAGAATCTCTTTGTCCGACCACATTTCTGGACTGCGCCCGCGCTGCCCGAGGGAGCCGGGCTGGAGGGCTCTGAGCCGACCATGCTGCACAGCTGGCAGTGCCAAGTCTAACCGCTGGCGCCTTGCTCTGCCAGCGAGCGTCACCCATCACCCTGGGCCACAAGAGTAAGGCTAAGGGAAGAGGGCAGCTCACCAAGATCTTGGCATCTGTGCTGAAGCTGCCAGCAATCCTTTGCTAAGGTGGTTTCTGCAATGGGAAACACCAGAGTATTTGGACTGAAATACAAAGCCACAAAACGGGATCAAATGTTAAAACCTTGACTATTATCTGGCCTGGTTTGCCCTCCTGAGAGTCAGGACCCAACATCCATCAAGCCCGTTGTTGGCGAGCGCTGAGTCTGACCTTCCCATTACCCCACAGCTGAACTAGGGGTCAGCCGGGAAGCAGCCCCGAGTTTGGGTGCCCTCCTGTGTCGGGCACCCGCACGCTTCAGCATCGCTTGCTCCCCCGGACTCACAGCGGAGACTTGTCGTCACCTGTCGCTGGGCGCCCAGGCGCGAGGAGGCGCAGGCGGAGGTCGCTCCGCGCCGCGGAGACGAGACACGGGCCGGGGCCCGAGATACGGAGAGCAGAGACACGGCTGGCTCGGCTGCAGCAGGCCGGAGGGTCCCTGCCCCACCAGGCGGCTCCCGGGCCCGGGCCTGCGGCGGCGGGGACGCGGCCCCTC